AGTTATAGAAGAAGAGAAAAGAGAAGATTTTTAACGGTTTTTTCGATATATCTCGAAAAGTAACAAAGCAATCGATACTTACAAAAAATCAGTCGACAGATCTTTTTAAAACTTACAACTTTCTCATTTAAAATTTTTCAATCGGTGCTATATTTTTTTTAGTTATTTTAGAAAAACCGTTTTTTGCAACTTTGCGATTTTTTTTAACCATGTTCGCCATTTTGGATCGAGTTTAAAGAACAAGAAACTCAATTTAAAATTTAATTTTCTATACGGTCATATTTTTTTTGTCCAGGTAATCATTTTTGTAAGCATTTCTCTATAATGCTTGGACTATACGTGATCAGCGATTACGCCCATATCATGTCCAGCGAGTTCATGCATTAAATGCAAATGACTGTCAACCGAGGATTGAATTTTGTCAATGGTTTTTACAACAACGCGAACAGCCTGATTTTATAATGAGCACCAATTGGCGGAAAATGCGCATATTATTTCCCAACGTCGATTCCAAAAACAGTTGAATGTTTGGGCAGGCATTATGGGCGATTACTTGATTATTTTTTACCCAGAACCCCCGCGTGATTTCACTTTAAATACAGAAACTGCAGGAATAGATTCATTACCAAAAAATAAGTATAGAGTTTCCTCTACGATATAAACTTTTTTCCTGGAGGTGCGGTATTCGAGATACAGGGTGTTGAAGTTCACAAAAAAAAAAATATATATTTTGTGCTATATCTTCATAATGCGCTGACGGAATTGAACGAAATGACGGTAAAATCTTACGTTTTGTCATTTCGAGGTCCATAGTGACGAACTGCTGAGGCTGGGGTGGCTGGTAGACCAGGTTCAAGCAGAAGACGCCGCCCAGCACGGAGAACCTCCTCAGGTTGATCACGTGGTCCGGTACCGTGATCGTGAGGTGTTGTTTCGTTTCGGAGTATAATGTATCTAGGACCAGACGACAGAAATTGTAACAAGGCAGTGTTGCCAATTTCAAACGACTAGAATTTAGTTTCTCTTGACAAATACAATGACCTTGTAGCTATCCTACCTTCCAGCTGGATGGCCATCTCGCTGGCGGTGGGCTCTAGTTTCTTGTATGGCACCAACGGGATCTCTTCGTCTGAAGAGAACTCCGTCTTCTCTATTTCTTCGCAGGGCGCGCCGTTGCCGTTGTCGTCAGTCTTCGGAACTACAGTTTTCCTGTCTCTGTTGTCGTACTTGTATTTGAGTTTGACACGCCATTCGCGATTGACGCTGTCCAATAGAGCTGATCGAGAACGGTGGCCGATTTTAGCTTAGCACGTACCAACGTCACTAAAGTATTTTGTACTTACCCGACGATATCATAGATGGCGTGTTGGGTATGTAGAAGCTCGCGCACAGGTCACTGAGATGGTCGTACTTCAGGTACACGGACCTGACGGCCATGGAGTCGCAGTCGATAGATGACGGGAACAGGACTTCCATGTTCACGTTGGGGAAGGCTATTTCGATTCTTGACCTAAAAAAAAGGATGTAGGGTGCTTTTTCGGGTACGGCTTGATCGTATTGTTACTTGGGCGGTCTTCTTGGATTGGGCAAGTGTACGGGCAGCTGAACCCTCAACCAGATGCTGAGGTTCAAGTTCTCGTCAGCGAAATTGAAGTCAGCGGTGGGTATGTCGATGCGATGGAGGTTTTTCTCGATGTTTCTGAGGAGTTTGTACGTTGCCACTTCCAGGTTCTCCTTCTGGTGGTCCCTGAAGAGTTGTCTTACCTAAAACAATTTTCGGTGTTAAGTGAAAGTCAATTGAAGCGCTTCTTGAGCCCCCACCCATTTCCAGTTGTTCACGATCCTATCCTCCACGTCTGTGGCGGTGTCCAACAGGTCCTGTAGGTCTGTCAGTAGCTAAAAGATGTATTGATTATAACAAGACGGTGTTGGCACTGATACAAAGTTACAAGCACCTTAACGACATCTTCTGTACGCTTAGAAGCTTCCTCCATGGTGGTCTCGTCCAGTTCTTTTTCCCACAGGTGAAGGTAGGTGTTCATTTGGTCACACAGAGACGGATTCGGTAGTCTCCCGCAAGTAATATAAAATTCCCACTACAAGAAACAGCATGGACGTACACGGTGTCTCAAACTCGATAGTATGGGCCTACTGTGAGGGTACAAAAAATTTAAATAAAATTTTGGACGCGTGGTGTTAAATGGGATGAGGTCAGCTCTATTTTCAATCGAAAGTATTATCTTTGGGATTTGGTAGAAACGACTAATAACGTAGCTTTTTAACAGGAGAAAAATTTGGGTATGTTTCTGGAAAAAATATAATTAATGACGTCATTAGTCGTTTCTATCAAATCCCAAAGATAATACTTTCGATTGAAAATGGAACTCACCTCATCGCATTTAACACCACGGGTCTCAAATTTTATTTAAATTTTTTGTATCCTCACAGTAGGACCATACTATCGAGTTTGAGACACCTGTACATACGATGTTCTCATTTATACTACCAGGTCCAATTGAGCAGGCAGTGGCTCATTTTATTCTGGTACTAGGTCTATTTACATAGTGTTGTGTAATATTAAACAGTTTTTAAAGTAACTGTAATAAATGGCAGGCATCCCCCTATTTCACTTCCAAATATTAATACTAGGCGATTTAGAATTAGGATATCGAAAAGCAACTTTTTTAAATAGAACTGAAATATGTCACTGTGCACACTTAAAGTACATATAATTCACTACTTTTGTACACAGGGTCAGCTCTACAACTTAAAAAATGACGGAATAATGAACTTTTAAAAAACGCTAAATTTTTGCCATTTTCCCGGGTTTTTTTCGGATCGATCGACCTCTCGTTTTATTCGTATTTCGATTTTCTACAAATTGTCTCTTTATAACGAGCGTTCAAATAAAAACGTGGTCGAAGTTGGCTCTGACATATTGGACGTAGATAGCGACCAACTTAACCTCATTTCTCAACGAGCTGTATGTATAGCAGCTGTCAGTTTCAATAACGTTAATGACTTGTATAACTTTATTTTAAAGAATAATCGTGATAACAATAACAAACAATTAAAGGAGCTGCGGAAAGTGTCCCCCTCCTTGTTATAACAATAAATTAAAGCAGCTGCTGAAAGTGTCCCCCTCCTTGTTCCAAGCACTTTTCACACCTGTTCCTCAAAGAATTAAAGACATTTTCTAAGATGCTCGGGGTATTGTTAATTTCACGAATCTTGTCTATAAGTCGAGCCTGCAGATGGTTTAAATCAGGAATAGGCAGTTCAAAAATAGTGTTTTTAAGGTAAGGCCACAAAAAGAAATCACACGGCGTAATATCACATGACCTCGGTGGAAATTCATGTTCAGCATTGAGACTTATTAGTCGATTTTGGAAAACTTCCCTCAACATATTCATCGTCTCGCCTGCCGTATGTGCCCTTGCGCCATCTTGTTGAAAGTAAAAGTTTGTAATTTCGTTTTCTTCCAGCTGGTTAACAAAAGGAGCGATAATTTCTTCTCTATACCTTTGCGCAGTAAGAGTACCATTAAAAAAAATAGGTCCATAAATCCTCCTTCGATTGAGAGCACACCAAACTCCAATTTTTTGAGCGTGTAGAGGGCCCTCGACAAAAAAGTTATCTGGTTTTTCAGAAGACCACATTCTCATATTCTGTGAGTTTACGTAACCACTTAAATGAAACCAGGCTTCATCAGAAAAAAAGGTGATATTATGAAGTTCACCGTAGTTGTTTAAAAACCATTCACAAAATACAGCCCGTCGCGGAAAATCAACTTCATGAAGTTCTTGCTGACAAGTTAAACGATAGGAGAACAAACGCAAATCTTTTTTTAACACTGTGTGGCAGGTACCGACTGATACTCCCACCATTTGTGATAAAACACGTACAGAAGTTCTTGGCGCATTTTCCATTATTTGTTGGACATTTTCTTTTAATTCTTCAGTCCGCTTTTTAGGTCGGCCGCTTCCTTCTTTTCTTGTTACACTGCCCGTTTCACGAAAAACATTAACACAACGCTGAACTGCACTTTGAAAAATTTTGTACTCAACAACGCCGGGAAATTGATTTTGAAATTCTATGAAACATTCCTCAATAGAATACTTCCATATTCCATCAATCTTGCGTCCATTTCTAAAGTAGGACTCTATGATAAACACTTTTTTGTTCTTGAGAAAACACCATTTTAAACACTTTTTAAAACGAAAATATTCAAATTGATAGCGGCGATATAGCGCTTTGACCACGTTTTTATTTGAACGCTCGTTAGAATTCAAATTGTTTCATTAGTTTAGGTTTTAAAAGCAAGAAACTGAATAAAATGCATTTTTTGCATGAAAATGTTTATAAAAAATTAATTAAAGGTAAATTGACTGTCTTTTATATGATGACATAGTTCGTTTGCTACTAGTTAGGTTATTGATTATGTCTTAAAAAGCAGGGTAGTAAGAAACTACAACGTTGATGGGTTTTTATTGCATGAATCATTCAAATGGTTATTTAAAAAGAAAAAACCGCGGAGTGCTATTAAATTAGAAGGTGGAAATTGGAGATAGGGGTGAATATGCAACCCTTACGGTTTTTTGAGTGTATCTCGAAAGGAGGATATTGCATAGGAAACATTTTATAGATAATGAGATAGCTTATTTAAAAAATTTAAAAAAATTATTTACTGCAAAATATATTAAAAACAATTTAACAAAAAAATGCAAAAAATTCAATTTTTTGTTTTTCTTTACTTTTATGCAAATAACTTTTTTCTGAGCAGAGATAGGTACAGGCATTGCTTCATAGAAAAAAAAGTATATAAAATTTCCTTCAAAACAAGAGATTGTAGAGTATTTTTTGATGAAAATTGACTGATATAAGGCCGCTCAAACTTAGTCATTTTTTCAATTTTCGTCGCATTTACCCTTATACGTTTTAATTCTCATTTTTTTGCAAAAAAGGAAGGAAATAAGACGTTCAAGGATTTTCATCACATGACCTGTTCGAAGGGTCATTAAAAATGAAAAAATAAGTGTGAAAAGCACTTTTGCAGTTTTTTAAATACAGCACGAAAACGAAGCAAAATTTCGTTATAGTTCATAGGAAAAATTTTGTAGAGAATTGAATTTCTCACCGAAATGGCTTATTTAAAAAATGTAAAAGAAAAAGTTTATGCAAAAAATCGTTAATAAACAATTTTAAAGGAAGCAAAAAATAAGATTTTTTGATTTTTTTACTTTTTTAATAAAATAATTTAGTAAAAACTTGAGAATTTAAGTACAATAAAGTTTATTAATAATGTATATACAGTGTGTCCACGGATGGAGTTGACAATAGGAGAAACTCTTGTTTTTGACTTTATAAAAAGTTCTGCCCCTCGAAAAAATGAGACTGTCATATAAACATCTTAGATTAGATATACAGGATGCTTATAAATTAAAAAAACACGAAAATATTCGAGAGAGAAGTACCATTATATATTATCTTCCACATTTTTATAAAACAAATCTGTTTATAACCTCAAATAATGTACTAATTACAAATTTTCCAAGGGATTGGCCATTATTTCCTGGACACCCTGTATGTATAGGATATATTTAAATGAAGAAGCACAATGCTACTATACTCGACGGCCAAAATTATAGATAGTGATTCATCGCTAGCTCTTGGACTAGTAAGGGGGATGAAGCGTGCCGGAAACGAAAATCCATTGGCGTGTCTGCGTAAAAGGCAACAAGATATAGAAAATATTGAAAAAACATAATAAAACATAACATCTAATATTTTTTACGGTTTGCTATAACCGGCACTTTGATCAATTTTAATTATTACAGCATTTTAAAACGTCCCA